ATTCCGGAAAATCCTCGTTGAAAAAACTACTATATTTAAACATGGAAACAATAAACAAAAACTAAAAATTCTTGAAGCTATATATATATATAAAACAGTTGAAGCCTAACCTAAACAAAATAAACTATTAAATCGCCACAAATATTCTTAAATGCCTATAATTTATAACAGAAGGCATTGGTTTATACTAACGGCGTCATTACTTAATACTTCTCGTTTTCACACTCGCGTGGTCATGTGTGACATCATGAGCTGCGGTGCGATTTTCGCTTCCTGCGTCTTGTATGCATGAGTTTGTCGTTGCTTGGAAATCTTGCATGTAAACATAAACAGACTATCATTATTATTGTCTGTGTATTGGTTAATATATTGTAATGTAATTGTTATCCTTGATAATGGCTTATGTAAGCCGAAAGGTTAGATAGGATTAAAAAATATGTATCAATATTGTGATTTTCTTTCGTCTTTTAATGATAATTTTATTAAGCTTATCAGACAATATGAAAAGAATTTACATAAAATAAATAGACAAAACCTGTCTATATTATTTAATGAAACATGGATCAATGAAAAAATGCTGCCTAAATACACAATATATATATATATATATATATATATATATATATATATATATATATAGAGAGAGAGAGAGAGAGAGAGAGAGAGAGAGAGAGTCATTGAAAATCTAAATTATTTTACCATAAAGGAAATATTTTGTTCGAAATATCATAAGAGGATATCTAATGTGAAAAGAACTAAAAACGAATGTGTAAGAAATCCCTTTGTGAAAACGAAGCCTTTTGAGAAAGAAAAGAAAGCTTCCGAATCGAGCTGAGTGTGTATCTTGACAAAGTTATTTATAGAAACAATCTATTGCAAAGAATTTATTTCCGTGAAGGTGAAGATTCAATGCCTCATGTCTTTGAGATTGCACCGTAGACATTTTATAGCTTCATCTCTCCTTCTGTCTGTCTCTGCCTGGGGGACACATTTGAACTTTAAAGGTTAAAACCTTTACGAAGAAGACACTACGATGGTCAAGAGTTTCACGTGAAAACCCCGAGGTTTATCATTGCTGCCGGGCTTTCGCGATAAACCAGTTGGACTGACCGACCTTTACTTGAAGCAGAATTTCTATTTGTGGTGATTTTCATCGTTATCGCCGTAATAGCGTTACATTATGTATGAGGAAGTCAGATTTCGCATTGACTATTTGTGATATGTCTCAATAAACAATTATACAAGCCTAGTGTTGGCCTTAAGGAAAAAAGGATTCTCGGCTTTGAGAGAAAGTTAACGTTTCCTTACAGATTACGGTAAGGGTCTAGGCACGAGTGGTTAGAACGTTCGGTTTCTAAACATGATGTCCGGTTTCGAATCTCACCATTGTCGGTTTGTCAGAAAGGTCATTTTTTAAATCGGTTTCACTTCATGCAAGGCAGAAAAGCCACTAAGACATAAGGGGTTACTGGGTATGGAAGAATTAGGAACAGTAACATTAATATTAGGCGGGAAGAGAAAAGACTATCATGAGGATAGCGATTGACATTGCATTTAAATTTTTGCAGATTAAAGTTAACTGGAAAGCAGGGATCCGGTAGAGAGTTCCACAAGCGAGAAGTGCGAGAAAAGAAACAGAATAGAATTAACGGCTACATCTAGCCAGCTCAAGTGTAAATTGATGGGATCTCGACGCCAGTTTAGTACTGTGTTTAAATTCAAAGAATCTAGATACCATTGCGAAAAGTTCGTCTGAACAATAACCATGAAAGTATTTGAAGAAAAGACACGGAGAGGCAACCTTACAGCGGTGGGAATGTCACTGAAGCCTAGCCACCAGATCAGGACCAATAATATTGCTGATTCTTCTTTGGATTTTATCAAGCTCACCATAAATAGTAGGGACACTGGACCATATGTGGCAGCAACATTTTAAACATGTCCAAATGGCAAACTTATAGATAGGTATGATAGATTCTGGAGAGAACAATTGTTTCGCACGACGCAGTGAGCCAATTTTCTTAGCAGATGATCTAGGAATATAGTCTTTCCATTTCATGTGAGCTGAGAACGTTAGCCCCAGAAGGTACAATGAGTCACTTTCTTGGAGGTTAGCATCAGCCATGTTGATGGAAGATAGAGAGTGGACATCGGCTGCCATTTTGACCTTGTCGGATTGATCAGCCTTATCGAGGCAGGAGTAAATGATAGTGTCATCAGCGTAGATGCCAAGTTGGGACTTGTCATCGGGAAGGTCATTAATGAAAAGTAAGTTCAAGGATAGAGCTGTGGAGGAAACCTACGTTAGTATAAAAGGATCTAGACGAGTGGCCGTTCAGGATAATTTTCATTTCACGATTGTATAGGAATTACTGGATCCATTCAAAAATGTGTCTGAAGACACCGTAATTATTCAGCTTGTAGAGAAGACCTGTATCCCAAACCCTGTCAAAGGCCTACGAGATGTCTAAAACTACAGGCGGGGCTATACCATTTTTATCTAGAGTTGGATAGAGTCTTTCTGCAATTATCGTCAGCACATCAGCAGTTGACCTGAAGAAACGAAAGACACATTGTCTGAAAGCTCGTCTGAAAAAATGTCCTTGCGATTAGAGGTGATGAACCGGTTCGGCATTGATTAGTGCGTCGAGGAATTTCCTAAAAAGAGGTAAAATGTTAATAGGCCGATAGTTGGAAGGGTCGGAAGGGTCACCAGATTTCTTAAAAGCTCGAACAACAGATGGTGACTTCCAGCCGGAAAGAAAGCAGGAAACAACTTGGTATTTTTTATACGATTTAGAGAGAACAGGAACCACTTCGAAAGCCCACTTCTTAATGACTATTACAGAGATACCATCGGGTCCACATGCTTTATAGGGCTCTAGGTTAGAGAGGATAGCATTTTCTTGATGTTATCCGCATTATCTGGCATTAAATAATAGCAGCATATGATTGTATCAGTAATAATAAATATATATATATATAGATAGATTTTTAAGCTCTCATGTGAAGTATTTTCATTTTATATGCTTTTTGGAATAAATCGTAGAATTCAAACTACTTAAACCATTAATGCCACCGTAAAAAAAAAGCCTGATTGGATATTCTTAATCGAAAGGAAAATTTGTTTAGCTAGTAACGGGCCATCTCTATCTATAAAAGGCAGGATGTGTGTGTGTGTGTGTGTGTGTGTGTGTGTAAAGAATGCACGGCCGCAATTTTCGACGGATTTGCACCGAAATTTACATGCACATCCTCCAAGTTAACGGGAAGGCCAAGACCGACTTTGCATTTCCCAACTCCCATCGATATTGGAAATAATCGATATTTTCATGCTTCTACGGCAGTTTTCATATAGTTTGCGGTCATTTTCTACTGGCCAGAGTGAGAACCAATAGCTGGCTGCCACGAATAGGCAGGAAGATTCTATTGGCCAGCGTGAGAGCCAACAGCTGACTGACACGAATTTTGACTAGCATGCTAGCATGCAAAAAAAAAACAATCGATAGCTGCATTCGTCGCAAGTGGGAAAAATTTAAATCCGCATGGCACTTTACTCCAATTGGCTCATTCGCTTGCTTAAACTCAACGTTGATTCTGATTCCGCAGAACTGGGTTGGGTGTGAAAAAGTATTTGTTGTTAACATTCTTTTTTCATTCGGTTTTTCCAGTTAAAGCTGATCGTTTTGTGTTCATTTTGTTTAATTATTTTTTCGTAACAGATTTAATGTTAATATAGAGCTTAGAAAAAAATCGCAGTGTGAGATAGACAAGAAGCAAGGCATGTAGCAACATCAGCACAGGAAAGGGCACTCCTTTAAAGGCAAGGAAGGGCAAAAATATTTTAAGTCAAGTTATAGCGATTGCTGTATGAGTCGTAAGATTTTTGAATCAAGCACGAGCAACGCCAGGCCATGCTGCTAGTAGTATATAAAAAAGCAAGTACTGAAAATATCCAATCATTTTGAATATCACAAGAACGGATTGCGCAGCCTTTATGTAACTTAAAAACCAACCAGAAGGGGCTTTACTGCACAGGTTTAAACAGATGCAGATACATTACAGAGTGAGCATGTGTACTGTGTGACCATTGTATTAACAATGATCGAGAAAGTAGATTAGCGAAGTCTTGGGCAGAGTTTTCGGAAAAACCTAGATAAATGACTCCCGCCTACAGAGGAAAACTGATTCCCTGATCCGTTCGAAAAAGGTCGCAAGTTGTTTCAAGGAGAGTAATTTGAAGAGAAGTAGTGTTGTTGCCCAAGGTTGGCCTTTGTTTCGTTATGATTAAAAGGCCGGACTCTTTACACACTACGTGTATTAGAGTCGTAAAAACTTTTAAACATTATATCGAAATCAGGATGCGCAGGTGGTGTAATAGTTAAAGGCTGGGAATGAGAAATCAGCGACCCGATTTTAAATTCCGGTCGGAATCGTTGCTTTCACTTTCGCAAAAATGCATTTTGGAAAGTTATGAATTCATTTTTTTCCCCAACAGCTATGCGTTAAATAACAGGACAGACTGGATTTGGCCCTGGCTGGCAACCAATATAGGAGAAGGATAAATTAAAAACCGCATAGTTGCGATATAAACCACAATTTGTTTCTGTGTCTCTGCTGAAGAAACACAAATGGGTCTGAGCAGTTGGACATAATCAGAAACGAGCAGGCATGCTGAAGATGAGAACTCGCCTTCATTTTCTGTCGAAACAGCTTTGATGATGATAAAGAGATCAAGAAAGAACGCCTGTTACACAGTAATGATCAAAAATATAACTTCTTTTCGAACATTGTCATTTGATCAATGTTTAACCTTCGAATCCACAAAAAAACGTTGCATGAAAAGGACGGTTATTCCCTTGACACCGCTATTACTGTATACGCCTTTGACTCCTTCAGTAATAATTATTGTTTTATAAAGCAATTAGAAGTTTAATAAAACATATGAAAGTGGATTTGTATATTTTCTTTATTCTTGAGAATTCACAACAAATACGTTTAAAACTATTTATTTATTAGATTGCTTATTTACAACAATAATTTTATATTCTCAAGATTATAAAAATATCTGAACCAGCTTTTGTGAACAAGAAAATGCAGATAAACACATAACGACGAGTACCTGTAATTATAAATTTTAAAAAATACATTTTCTAGGATTTTCTTTCATTTACTCTCGCCACATGAATTCATTAATAAATTTTAATTAATAAATTTCATTAATAAATTGAATTATTAAATTATTATTAAATTATTTCATTAATAAATTTTATTAATAAAAAGGCTGAAAGCATCTCTTCCTCTTATATATTTTGATAATTTTGTAATTTTTAATAAATTTCTGAATAAAAAGATTTCTTTTCAAATTTATTTCTTTATAAAATAGAAAATGATAAATCTTTATAAAAAGTAATGAATATCGCATTTTACTTGGTTCAAACATTTTTGTATAATTTTGTAAATAAACTTTGCCGAAGGAGTCAAAAGTGTATGCAGTAATAGCGGTGTCAAAGGAATAACCGTCTCTTTGACACACCGTTCTTTTGCGGGCACGAAAATTAACCATTGGTGACATTTATACTGAGTCGATTCTCACAGAGTTACCATTCCCAAGTAAATAAATTTTAGCATGCAGCCAAAGAAATGGTGAAGACGTTAGAGTGAGCAAAAGATGCTGAAAATAAGGATCAAAGTTAAGTTAAAGAAAAATAAATAGCAAATATTTGTAAGGCAAACCATTCACTGATGTATTAATTATAATTTGCATTCGAGGACGCGATACGATGTTCTGCAGTAGGCAATCATTATAACACGGTTAAAAAAAATGTACTGTATCCTCCAATTAAATCAAATTTTTCTTCATTAAGAAGCACGTATTGTAATAAGTGTCACCAGCCATGTACCAGAATTCAAAACTCAAACCTACGCTCTAGCTTCAAAAAGTTCAAATTCAAATAGTAAATTAACATGATTTTTTTATTAAATTTTAATTATTATTTTTTAATTGCTTTTTCTGTGGACATTTTGAATTTTCAGGCCACGCATGCGTATACAAGACGAAAAAACTTTCACTATAACCGGATGACATTTCTCTCTCTCTCTCTCTCTCTCTCTCTCTCTCTCTCTCTCTCTCTCTCTCTCTCTCTCGTTCTTTCTATAATCTGAAATAAAATATGTTGGCGTTTTATTTTCTGTTTTTTGTTTTGTCTTTCATTTGAAACGGACAAAAACACGTCCGTGACACAGGCTTGTATAAAGTTTGATGTCAACTTGATATTATTGTTTTCTGTCTTTTTTTTTTAATATCAACGACACAAGAGTTAAAAAAAAAAAATAACGGACAGAAGATAGAGAAAAAGAAAAAAAGAGAGAAAAAACAATCGGTTAAAACACAGAGAGAGAGAGAGAGAGAGAGAGAGAGAGAGAGTAGAAAGATGAGTGAATTATGTCCTCAAAAAAAGGAAGAACTTTTTTCATAAAGAAAATTTTGAAACCGAACAAATAATTGCTTTTTCAATAATAATAATAATAATAATAATAATAATGAAAAGCTGATTTCCAAACAATGTCATCACCACAACTAAAATTAATTCTCTTCGCCTACATTCATCACATATAATACTGATCAAAGATTATCAACATCAAGACGCAGACATTAAATTCTCTATCTTTATTACTAATACTACCACTATACTACTACTACTACTATACTACTACCACTAATAATAATAATAATAATAATAACTAGACTACCCGGTCTAGTTGGGTCACTGATGCTTTAGGTTATAAAACATTGAAGTTGATTTCAACATTCCATTGAAATGTTAATTTTATTATGATTCAGTTAAATTCGTTCGTGTCATCTTTGGTCTGCTTTATAAGTTCATGCTTAATGTTTTACTTACTGTTTAGCTTATGTAACAAGAATAGAACTTCCGGGATAAACTTGAACTTTAAATCAGACTAACTTTAAAATATTTTTTTTTTAAATATGGCAAAAATAATTTTTAAATATTTTAAATATAGTTTGTTTAAAGAATGCTGAAATATAAATAATTACCCTAAAATGAACTGAACGAAACAGCAAAGCGGGATCTTTTTGTGTCTGTCTTTAACTTAATTAAAAATTGCCTGCTTGAAGAAAGTTAAAATAAAAAAAATGCTTACTGTATAAACAACTAGCAAATCATAATGCGCCAGACGGCCGGACCTTACAAGTACGCACGCAATCACAGACATTTTTTTTTATTATATATATATAATAATAATAATAATCACTTACGTGCTATGCCTGATACACGCTTAGGCGATCATGTATCTTTCGATACATGACTGACGAGGCAGATTTTTTCCCGCAGTAGGTTGCAGAAAGAAATGACAACCTACAGCGGGAAAAAAAATCTGCCTCGTCAGTCATATTTCGAAAGATACATGGTCGCCTAAGCGTGTATCACGTATGACACATAACTGAATAATAATAATAATAATAATAATAAGAAGAAGAAGAAGAAGAAGAAACAGAAGAAGAAGAAGAAGAAGCTGTAAATTCTACACTCTGAATTGATATGTGGATTAAAGCGTTAATCCGTGAATTTGATCAACTGAGAGGTCGAAACGTGTGGACACTTTAGGACAGCTAGTAATCTGTGAATCATATTCACTTACATGCGGACTATTGTCCTTGTCTCTATTGTTATTACGACAATACTTTAACAATTGTGTCCTCTGGCTTTCATCCATGGCTGCTCGTTGATATGGGTAACTGTTGTGGCATTGTTAGGGCCAGACATAAAGACACAAAGAGAGGAATCGTGTTAAACAAATATATTAACAGAAAAAGTAATACAAATATAGACAAATGAGATTGTTACAGCAAGAATGTTCGGTCCGGCTGTCAGAGATGACTACTGGAAACTTCCTTCTCCAAAAAGGCAGTACCTGCTCCTATTTATAGCTGGGAGAGGCCATGCGTGCGCAGGTAAATTACCATAACAGTAGCCTCCGAGGATTTTCAAGCTGAACACTTTATTTAATTTGCAGGTTAAATTGTTCTCATTCCGCTGATCATCTCTATGGTTATGTCGTCTAGCTCTTCTTTTAGTACTACACAGTTATTGCTTACCCCGTTTGCCTTAACTCCAAGCACACGCTACCCGGTCTAGGGAATGAACTCACGATTACTGTCATAAAATTCACAAAAAATCAACATTTTAATCCATTAATCTATTCAGTTTTTGAGTCGGGTAATGTGTGTTTGCGGAAACGAGGTCAGCAATAACTGAGTAGTGCACATTACGACCTTACACGAGATATCCCGAGACATGGTCAGTGGAACGAGAATAATCTGCACTCGGAAATTAAATAAACGGTTCAGTTAAGAAATTCCCTGAAGGTTACCACCGATCAAGAGACACCTGATGACAGAACAGAAGAGTCGAATATTTTGATAATAACAAAAAAGATGAGGACAGTCGTCTAAATATGAATGATGTAAATAACGGCAACTCCCCACCTTTGAAATACAGACAGATATCAATGTTACATGTTTTGACTATTCTGTTGAGTATCAAAGAGGTTTTAGTTGGTTGACCCCAACCAGTTGGGTATATCCGCGAGGCTGATTCACTGTGCATCTGAGTTCACAACAGATATTTGGATGTTAGCAATGGGTAATGAGTGAAAGCAAGCCTCTTCAAGTCTTCAGCACATTTCTCTATAATGTCGAAGACTCCAACATCGGCGTTATATGAATAATCTCAATTCAAATTCATCTTGAACGTTTAAAAATCTGCCATTCGTCCGTGCATTGAATATTGTTGCCATATATGGTCTGGTGTTCCGGGTATATATATATATATATATATATATATATATATATATATATATATATATATATATATATATATCTTGAGATTCTCGGCAAACTCAAAGGAGAATCTACAACGTTATAGGTTTTGGCCGTGGTAGAGAAGAAAGAAAACAGAAGAGAGTTCCACAGGCGAGAAAATAAACAGGAAGAAAGTTCCACAGGCGAGAGAATAAACAGGAAGAGTTCCACAGACGACAAAATAAACTGGAAGAAAGTTCCACAAACGAGAAAATAAACTAGAAGAAAGTTCCACAACCGAGAAAATAAACTGGGAGAAAGTTCCACAGACGAGAAAATAAACAGGAAGAGTTCCACAGACGACAAAATAAACTGGAAGAAAGTTCCACAAGCGAGAAAATAAACTGGAAGAAAGTTCCACAGGCGAGAAAATAAACTGGGAGAAAGGTCCACAGGCGAGAAAATAAACAGGAAGAGAGTTCGACAGACGAGAAAATAAACTGGAAGAAAGTTCCACAAGCGAAAAAATAAACTGGAAGAAAGTTCCACGGGCGAGAAAATAAACTGAGAGAAAGTTCCACAGGCGAAAAAATAAACAGGAAGAGAGTTCAACAGAGGAGAAAATAAACTGGAAGAAAGTTCCACAAGCGAGAAAATAATCTGGGAGAAAGTTTCACAGGCGAGAAAATAATCTGTGAGAAAGTTTCACAGGCGAGAAAATAATCTGGGAGAAAGTTTCACAGGCGAGAAAATAAACTGGGAGAGAGTTCCACAGTCGGGAAAATAATCTTCTTCGTAATGTGTTACTATTATTATTATTATTATCATCATCCTCATTATTATTATTTAAAGCGATAAAAATCTCTGAGAACAAAGTAAAAATAAATTTCCTCAATCTGCAGCACCTTCCTCAGGATTCAGTTTTAATTTGAGTTGTTTCAACTGTTCATATCGTTCTCGAAGACTGCCCTTGATCGTCTGCGTTTTGAAAACTCTACTACGCTCATCTGTAATCTTAACGATATAAAAAAAATAAAAATATACACCATCTAACGGCTCTTCCATTTTCGGCGAATCAAGTGAAAAAAAAAAAATAGAAATCTGAAAGAGCAAACATCATGGACTTTTGTTCATAAAAGACAAACTACGTTCGAAGCGGACCGTTCCTGGCATACTCAACAAACATCGAGCTTTGAAAAGGAAAGAGAGCGAAATATCAATTTTTATATTTTTTTTAAATGACTTCAAGGAATAATTGTCAGCTCTGAAAATGTCCAATTTTAGATGCTTCGTTTTCTTTCTTTCTTTAAGACGAAGACCGTTTTTAAGTTCTTGTATTTGTTCATTTAAGTATTTTTTTTTTATTTCTTCCATATCCTCCGGAAAACGTCTTCGTTCGATGAAATGGATGTAATTAAAAAAGAAACTTAAGTGATAAAAAAAAGGCTCCCGCTATCTATCCGTTCGATGTAAGTGTCTACATTTTTCTGCAGACTGAATATATGTCTGGAGGTGTGAAGGCTGCATGAAAAATCCTATCTAGAATGCGATAAGTGTATATATATGCAATCTAGGAGAAGAGTGTATTTAATAACGAGTACGCATGTGCATTGGCATATATCTAAATACTCTTTGACGTAAACACATACCGTCCTGGTTAAGACGATAAACTACATCCGGCAGCAATCCGGAACGAATGATCCCCAGCTCGTTTGTATTCTATTAAGAATTTCAATCCAGATATCTTTTTTCTGGAACAGACTCCCGAGAGGCTGCTTCCTCGATCACTACAATTTTAACCTCTTCAGGTCGAGGGTTAATTATATTTCGCTCCATGTAAAACCTGCCTTGTCTATCTGTAGACATCTGCCCCGATGTGGTATCTGTAGACAGAGCCCCGACTGAGTCATCATCTGCCCGAAGATAGCAGTTTTGTCAGTCGCAAGTCAGACAGCAAACTGCCTGACTCGAAACGACTAAGTATTTACCCAGTCCCCGTCATTGGGATGAGATGTGACAAAAGGTCAGGATTATTGTGGATAACACGAGCGGATCCACTCGGACAGCAAGTTAAAAAGAAGAAGAGGATTCATACCTCTCCCAAGGCACGGTGTAGTAGCAGATAGCGGCTTGGATTGAGGAATCAGAAAGCCGAGTTGGAATTCCAATCGAACCCATTACACACACGCACACACACACACACACACACACACACACATATATATATATATATATATATATAATTATTTATTTTAAAAATTTATAACATAAATATGTTATAAAATCACTAAAAAATAGCCATTTTGTTTCAACACCCGTTATCAAGTGATGATGTTGAATGTAAAATAAATGGTTTTCAAATTAATTAACGATCCTTCGCAAGGGGAAAACGTTGTTACAAAAGCTAGAATGACCAATCAAAATACAAGTATAGGAAAATTCAAAAAGCTTGACAACGAAATCATGTTATAATAGCTATTCAGATCTTTAAAATACGGGTAATATTAAAAAATAATTTATTCTAACCAATAATTATTAAATCATATGATAAAATTAGATATTAAAATTAAAAACTGCCAATTTTAAAATCCAAATTTAATCACTATTAAGTTTAAAATTATAAAATTACTGAGAGGAAAGGAGAAATACATATGTTATTCAATTTATTTCTTCGTTGAAATTACGTTAGAATAGTCGCTACGTCATCCGGCCCTCTGACAATATATATGTATACATTTTAATCCCAAGTGTGTGAATGGGGTCTTAAACTCACGCGCAAAACAACACAAACACAATCAGATTATAATTTTCCTATACTTGTATTTTTATTGGTCATTCTAGCGCTTGTAACAGCGTTTTCCCCTTGCGAAGGATCGTTAATTAATTTGAAACTTTTAAAACCATTTATTTTCAATTCAACATCATCACTCGATAAGACACCGGGGGTGTTGAAACAAAATGGCTATTTTTGTAGTGATTTTATAACATATTTATGTTATAAATTTTTTTAAATAAATAATTATATCTGCTCTAATTTGTATTGAGCACTCTTTTAAGAATAGTAATTGTTGGTTATTGGAATTCATTGCATATACACCAATTATATACTTGTATATATATATATATATATATATATATATGGGTGGTAGACCAGATGACAAATTTCTACATCACGTGTCCCCCCCCCCTTTTGGAGAACGTAATATTTGAGAGACGTCCAAAAAGTTCTAAGCCACCCACAGAAAGAAGAACTTTTTTCTTGTGCCAATACGCCAGCACTTTTTATAAAACCAGAAAAACTAATTTAGATTTCTAAGTTTCTGCGCAGGTGAGGCCGATAAAAAGGTGAGAGGTATGCAACAAATCTAAAACGGGCAAAACAGTGGCTCAATAAGAATATCTGTAACAGAAAAATATGACAGCCAAGGAAATCTATGAGGACATGGTCAGGACATTTGCTGAGGACTCCCCTTCTTATGCCACTGTGAAAAATTGGCCTGCGGAATTCAAATGGAGAGAAGTTGACCTTCGGTCAGGTGGTCTAAAAATCTCATCCATAATTAAACATATACCCTCATCAATAAAGAATAGAATCAGCATTAACTCCGCTAATAAAGAAATATTCCAAAAACACAGTAATTTTTATAACGCAGCCCTAAAAAATAGTGGATACAAAAATGCTAACATCAATTATAGAAACAATTGTACTAACCAGATGAAAAATATGAAAAGAAAAATCATTTGGTATACCAAATGGTTAGTATTAAGCTAGGACAGAAATTCTTAGCTTTAATTGAAAAACACTTTCCTACTCATAGCAGACTTAGTAAAATATTTAATAAAAACACCCTAAAATTAAGTTATAATTGTACTGAAAATCTAGAAAGTATAATAAAAAAAAACACAATAATAAAATCCTGAATAAACCCCCATGCCAGAATAGTATTAATAAAAACCCTACACTTAAATTAGACAAAAATAGTGAAAAATTATGTGACTGTAGAAACCTAGAAGACTGCCCGTTGGAAAATAAATGCTGCGTAAAATCTGTGGTATACCAATTTACTATCTCATCCATTGAGAATCCTAATACTAATATGATATACATTGGGTCTACGAAGAATGAATTTAAAACCAGATTGAGGCAGAATAAGTGCACCTTCAACAATATAAATAAAAGAAATCAGACATCTCTAAATATTTTTGGCATTTGAAGGAAATGAATAAAACACCAAAAGTGAAATGGAAAATTATAAACAAAACTAGAAATTGTAAAACTTGGGATGACCCATGCCCTTTATGCCTACATGAAAAACTACACATTATCAAGTTTCTAAATAATAAAAATTTATTAAACAATAGACATGAGTTAACGGTTTTTTGCCGACATCATCAAATTTTCGCATTGAATAATTAGCATAAAAAACTAACAAACAATAAAATAATAAATACAAATTTTAAACCTCATAGTCTAAATAAATAGTTTAAATGCCCTACCCAATAAAAAAAGATAACCCTTTATGAAGTCGTCAAAAAAAACAAATGTTAGCGAATTATGACGTTTTTTTTTATATACACAAAACCCTTTCAGAAAAAAATAAAAAATAAAATAAAAAAAATAAATTAATCTCCATAGACACTTAACCAGACAAGACGATGTCATCTTCCACTTTAAATTTAGACACCCCAACCTTACCCTGACTTGACGTCTTTGAATGAAACAGAGATATTGATACAAATTATTAACCCTGACACCCCTTTTCTTTAAATAATTGCTCTAGCCGTTACCATAGTAATTTTAATTTTAATAATGAATATGCTTATAAAACGTGTAAATTTCAGGAATTAGTTATTCAAAAAAAATTTCGCTTGAAGATGGAACAGAGCTTAGTATTTTAATTTAATTTAATTCAAATAATTATATTGAAGTTTTCGGCTCTTGGTTTGAAAGATGAGAACTCTTATGTAGTGATGGGATCATATTTTAAATAAATAATTATATATATATATATATATATATATATATATATATATATATATATATATATATATATATATATATCAATTAAATGGGATTTGAATAATCAAAATTAATTCATCGAGGTCTAGAAGAATCCTCAACAGAATGCAGAAAGCACTGGACATGGCGAAACTGCCGTCCAGTGCTTTCTGCATTCTGTTGAGGATTCTTCTAGACACGATGAATTACTACAATGATTATTCTAATCCCCAAATTCTATCATATATATATATATATATATATATATATATATATATATATATATATATATATGTGTGTGTGTGTGTGTGTGTGTGTGAGAGAGAGAGATAGAGAAACAAATTGTTTCTTGAATTACAAATACGCATGTACACGGTGTCCATAAAGTTCGTGTTCACATTAAAAAATTTATAATACAAATAAAGTTATAATTTTTTTAAAGTGCACATGAACTTTATCGACACCCTGTATTTACACGTTTGTATAACATTGTTGAAAAATGTGCATTTACCATTTGATGCCAACTCCAAAAATATTAATACATCAACATGAAAAAAACTAATAAAAACAAAATGAATAAAAAACGAAAAAAAAAGAAAGTCCCTACGTGATTAGTCTTCGACTTTTATTTTCCGAGCAAACTTCTTATTCTTGTGAGCACTTTCCTGTAAGTATTATTTTGAACGTCTTGTGTTCCGCGGACAACATGCTTATACACGACTCGATATTTACGGGGCTGACCGAATGAATGGCATTGACACCCTTAGCTTATTGCCGTTTGATTACAGGCGAAACTCGTTTGCCATGTGCCGTAGTCGTCGTCGGGGAATTGGAAATAAAACTCAGTGTGAATTACGTTTCAGAATTTAGGATGAAGAACGATTTAGAGATCCGCTCGAGTAAAAGACTGATTGCTTCATTGGAAATGAAGAAAAATGACTGGGAACACCGCTTTAAAGAGAGTGAGATAAAATATGGAGAAAATGAATTTATAAGCACACTTATGAAAATACAGGGGATTGGAGAGAGAGAGAGAGAGAGACAGACAGACAGAGAGAGAGACAGAGAGAGAGAAGGACAGAGAGAGAAAGACAGAGAGGAGGAGACGGAAAGACAAACGGAGATATCTTTATATCCGTCTGTTAATCTCTCAAACTACGTAACTGTCCATATC